CAGATTATAGATCAACTCATATATTCTGTTACCTAGGATGATTCCCTTTCTCTCTCTCTCTTTTTTTCCTGGAGATTGTGAAGGGAGAAAGAGAGTGAAAGCCAAGATAAAAAGTGAAGGACAAAACGTGTGCACTTACGTGGGAAACAGGGAACATAATTGTCTGCTGCTTGTGAGTGTTGTCCTTCCTTTCCTTCCCCAGCAGAAGGAAGAAGTTTGTGCCGAAATCCCAATCAGCCTAGAGTCTACAAGTAGGTGATTTGAATTGTTTTACTTTTCAACCACTTTCAAATAGAATGCCACAAATCTAAATATGCATCAGCTGCCTTACAGTAATTTCCTGTCTAACTCTAGGAACTGCAATCATTCCTCAATACAGCACATTTTAAATAACCTTGGTCTTCCCTGGGGTATTAATCCCTCAACTCAGGGAACTTTTTGAGCAAGGGAGCAATTAACTACTTGGTATAATTACACCTTAGAAATGAATGAGAGAAGAGAAGAGAGAAAGGGAGAGAGAAAGAGAGAGAGCCTGATTAGTATCATTTCCTTTGTAAAATATACTTCTGTGGAAGAATATTTTTAAACATTCCTTTGACACATATATCACACATATTTATTGTGTGTTTTTATATTTACTGCGTTTCATGTGTGCATACTTTTTAAATAAATAAATTATACCTTATTTTCCTACCTAGTATTGACAGAATTGACTATTGTGAGCAACAGTAACTGGGGTAGCTTAGAGAACTAAAGAAACTAATGGAAAACTAGGCCCAGGAAGGGTGGGAAGTAGGGCAGATGGAGGGACCTTAGCTGTTAGAATTCATGGAGCAGCCTCAGGGCATCGCCATCAGCTGGTTCTGCCTCAGCTACCTTTGCTTCTGTGTGCCTCACCCCAAGATTGGACTCTGACTTCCTTGGCTGAGTCACATGCCGATCTCTGTGAGCAGGGTACAGGCTAAACGGTGGGATGGAGATGGGCAGTTCTCCAGCAGGGAGTGAAAGGGGTTATTGCTAGAAGAAATGCAGCTGGAAATCATCATTCTCTGCAAACTATTGCAAGAACAGAAAACCAAACACCGTATGTTCTCACTCATAGGTGGGAATTGAACAATGAGATCACTTGGACACAGGAAGGGGAACATCACACACTGGGACCTATTGTGGGGAGGAACAGAAAACCAAACACAATCGATGTTCTCACCATAGGGGGTGGGAATTGAACAATGAGATCACTTGGACACAGGAAGGGGAACATCACACACTGGGGCCTGTTGTGGGATAGGGGGAGGGGGGAGGGATAGCATTAAGAGATATACCTAATGTAAATGACAAGTTAATGGGTACAGCACACCAACATGGCACATGTACACATATGTAACAAACCTGTACGTTGTACACATGTACCCTAGAACTTAAAGTATAATTTAAAAAAAAAAAACACCCTAAAAAAAAAAGAAAGACAGAAGAAATATGCTGGGAGTTCAAAAATAATGTTAAGCTAGCACTTGAAGTATCTGTCCTTATACTTCCTGACATCTATTAAAGCTTCCGAGTTAAATACCTTCAATACCCATCTGAGAGATTGAATGGCAAAAAAAAAAGTTAGGGTAAGTTTTCTGGGGGGGTGTGGAAGGCCAAATGTTTATTCTAAAGTTTCGACAAATTTGCTGTATTATGCATAGCTGCATGAAGATCTGAGACAGATGCCCATTTACATCCACAAACTAATTGTGTGGCTTGAAGAAAATTACCTAACATCCCTAAATCTCATTTCATCTTCTGTAAAATGATCTCACAGAACTCATATGTAGATTACAGTAGATAATACATAAAAAGCAATTACACAGTGCCTGGTAAGGAGTAAGGACTCAATTAATGGTAACTTATGATTATTACTCTAGGCAGATCTTCTGAAAAGCTACCTTTGACTACATTTCTCAAACTCTCTCCCCACACCAAGTGGAGGTATAAAATATAAAGAAACAGTGATTTGGGAGGGTTCAACTAAAGTAGATGTAGTTATAGGAAAAAGGAGATAACTAATAAATCACAGAATGTGCGAAAACTGCATAAGCAACCTTTAAAAAAAAATGTGGGCCAAGTGTGGTGGCTCATGCCTGTAAGCCCAGTACTTTGAAATACCAACACGGGAGGATCCCTTTAGCCCAGGAGTTTGAGACCAGCCTGGGGGCAACATAATGAGATCTCATTTCTAAAAGAAATTTCAAAAATTGGCTGGGTGTTGGGTGTACACCTGTAGTCCCAGCTACTCTGGAGGCTGAGGGGGGAGGATCTCTTGAGCGCGGAAGTCCAGGCTATAGTGAACCATGATTGCACCACTGCACTCCAGCCTGGGTAACAGAGCAAGATTCTGTCTCAGAAAAAGAAAATTATGGTAAAATACACAAAGCATAAAATTTAACGTCTTAACCATTTTGAAATATATGGTACAGTAATGCTAAGTATATTTCCATTGATGATCAACTGTTTACATCGTTGCCCAACTAATCTCCTGGACTTTTTCATCTTGCAGAACTGAAACTCTATAACCATTAAACAACTTCTCCATTTCCTTCCAACATCAGTGGCTCCTGGGAACCAACATTCTAGTTTCTTTTTCCATGAATGTGACTATTCTGGATACCTCATATTACTGGATTTATACAGTCTTTTTGTGACTCGCTTATTTCACTTAGCATAATGTCATAATCTCAACATTGAGGCTCATCCATGTTGTGGCATGTGTCAGAACTTCCTTTCTTTCTAAGTCTGAATAATATTTTGTTGTCTGTATATACCACATTTAGTGTATCCATTCATTGAGTGAATACCGGGTTGCTTTCAGCCCTTGCCTATTGTGATTAACGCTGCTAGGAATGCGGGTGTTCAAATGTGTCTTCAAGATCCTGCTTTTATTTCTTTTGTATATATACCAAGAGCTGGAATTGCTGGATCATATGGTAATTCTATTTTTACTATTTTAAAAAAATACAATACTGTTTTTCATACCAGCTGCACCATTTTACGTTCTCATCATTAGTGTACAAGGGTTCCAATTTCTGACATCATAGCCAAAGCTTATTACTATGGCAATTTAAAAAATAGTAGCCATCCTTATTGAAGTGATATGTCATTGTGGTTTTATTTTGCATTTCCTTCGTGCTTAGTGGTATTGAACATCTTTCCATATGCTTATTTGCCGTTTGTGTATCTTCTTTGGATAAATGTCTATTTAAGTCCCTTACCCATTTTTCAATCAGGAGATTTGGTTTTGCTGCTGTAGTTGTTAATGAGGTAAGATTTTAAAAAGTGATTGTGTGTGTGTGTCTGTGTGTGTTTATATATGTGTGCACTTCTGTTTCAAATAAAATCTCATGTTGCGTGCTTTTAGATCCAGGAAAGATTTAAATGGTTAGTGTTTGTTTTCAGTGCCAGTCATTGCAACATTAATTTAGAAAAAGCCAAAAAGTTGGTCATTCAGATTTTGTTTTTTATATATAATCAATTTTACCTAAACATGAATGTATATTTAAATTCAGACATAATATTATTCCGTATCTTAATTATTTCACACATATTCCTCTACATCAATAAATATATAATTGCATCATAATTTGAATGGGTAAAGAGGTATCCATTCATTCATTCAACAAACCTACACTGGAAGCTTACTATGTCACTGGGCTATGTCTTATGGATACAGTGATGAGTAAGACACACATAATCTCTACTTTTATGGAACTTTACATTGTCTAGAAAACAAATCTATTATGGAAGTATCAGTGTGTTGAATATCTGTCCCTAAACACTAGTCAGGCTTTACCAGATATCATGACATGTAGATTCTTCTACAAATATCCTGCATTAGTAGAACAGCAAACTAACACTAGGGTTATTTGAATCCAGCATATTGTCTCTGACAGGCATCCCCAATGTGTGGGAGTAAGATGCTGTGGCATCTTGGATTTTTGCCAATCAAGTTAGGAGGAGCCCTAGAATCCTCCTAGTGCACAAAACCATTTAACTATGCTTGAAGGAGCTTCACTTTATCATTTTATCCTTTTAGCTTCATGCTATTTGTAAAGTAAGCATTTTTATTAGAGATTTTTACTTGTTTTTGTTTACTGATTTCAAATAGGAAGGGAACTTTGGAGACTACAAATGGAATAGAAGAACTACAAATAACTAAAATGTCATGGAAACTAGGAGCTGGCGTGTCTGTGGGATCCCCAGTTAATAGTACCCGTTCTTTCACTTTAGATTCTGAGAAAATTGAGAAACAGTTATCAACTCCTGTCTTGTTGGAAGTTAAGTTACAAAATGTAACTTGCTGGGAGAATCAAATGAGCATGCTAATTAAGCCCCATAATTAGAACATCTTCTCTTCAACAACACTGGATGGAAAGACTTTCCCCTTGCTTTTACACTAAAGAGTATTTTGATATATTGGCAGTGCGGTGCAATAGGAAAACGATGACACAGCAGGACTTAAGAGGACTTGTGTCTAGGGCTGGCTTTAGCATAACTAGATGTAGTACACAAGGAAGACACTTATTGCTGTATCTCAGTGCCACCATCTACAGGTGGGAACAATTGGTAATAGAATAGAGTAAGTGGAGATAATAATCAAGTCAAATCAGTCATCCTTCAGTATCCTCAGGAGATTGGTTTTAGGACCCCCATAAATACCACAATCCAAATATGCTCATGTCCCTTATTTAAAATGGTGTAGTATTTGCATATAACCTATGCACATCCTCCTGTATACCTAAATCATCTCTAGATTACTTGTAATACTTAGAACAATGCCTACCACCATTTCATGCACATGAATTCAATGTAGTACTCATATGAGGCAAATTCAAGTTTTGCTTTTTGGAACTTTGTAAAATTTATTTTCTGAATATTTTTGAATCGCAGTGGTTGAATTCACAAAGGCAGAACCCATGAATATTGAGGGCTGACTGTATATAGACGTAACCTCTGTCAGTACTTATTTTACCAGTTATTTATCGAACAACTTATTTGTATCATGAGAGAAGTAATTAGGATGAGTAAATTGCCATGCAGGTCACTTAGGGTAGCTATGTGGTACAGGAATCTATAGCAGGGATGTGATTTGGAGTTAACTGGAGCTGAGTTTGAGGTCTGATTTGATGCTTAATGTGTAACATTGGGTTCACTATTTGAAGACTTTAATCCTCAAAACTCTTTTCTACGTTACGTAAAATCTACATTTTAGGGGTGAAGATTTAATAAGATGATGTATGTGAAATGCTCATCACAATGCCCAGAAGACAGACCATGCTCTATGAATGTTAGCTAACCTCCTTCTTCGCAAGATGGAAGAACTGAAATGCTTATACACAGAAAAAAAGGAACAATTACATTTTAATTGGAGCAAAAAAATAAGGTAAAATTGAATGTTGATTTATACAGAGAGGAACTATTGAAGGGTACTTCTTGGACTGCTACAGATCCTCTCTGTCCTCAACCAGGAAGAGTTGGCTACCCATTATAGAGACAAGAAATCTGTCTCCAAGTGCTTGCTATGCCCTTTGGATTCCTTATCCAGAATTAAGAGACAAAGAATAATGTTAATTATAACATTTATTCCCAATAATATCTCATAATTTATTCACAGACAGTAAGTAAAACATTTCGGAATACTCTTTTCAGGGACCTTTTCACTTCCTTGTTCCTTAAGGAATAGATTAACGAGTTCAGCATGGGTGAGACAATATTATTTAATATTTGCACCATGGCACCAAGCAAGGGGTTGGGTGTGGACTTCAGATAGATGATGATTACAGGTCCATAGGCACAGAGGATTGCAATGAGGTGAGCACTGCAGGTGGAGAAGGCTTTCTGCCTGCCCTCTGCTGAACGGATTCTCAATATGGCAATCCCGATGCGAGTATAGCAGACACAGACACTGATCAAAAGTGTTAAAGCCAGAAAGCCAACATTTATGGAACCCACCCTCTGGGCCAGGGCACTGTCAGTGCAAGCCAGGGGTAAAACAGCAGGAATGTCACAGAAGAAGTAGTCCACCTGATTGGGGCCACAGTAGGACAACTGAAAGGTAAAGGAGGTCAGAATGGTGGCGTGAAGACAACCCACCAACCCGGCTACCACGACCAGGCTGACACAGACTCTAGGCTTCATGATGAGCATATATCTCAGTGGGTGACATATGGCAACAAAGTGATCATAGGACATTACAGAATAGAGGCAGCCTTCAGCAGAACCCAATAAGTGATAGAAGTAGAGCTGTGAAGCACATCCCTTGTAAGAAATGACTGGGCTCTGGCCAGAGAGATACAATAGCATCTTGGGACATGTTACAGATGGGAACAATATGTCAAAAATAGACAAGAGTCCCAAGAAGAAATACATAGGCGTGTGAAGGGTAGAGGAAGAAACAATGGCTACAAGGATGAGTAAGTTTCCAAGTAGGTTGAAGAGGTAGATGAATGAGAAGACAGCACAGAGTACAGCCTCCAGTCCCTCTGTCTGAGGTATTCCCCGTAGAATGAACTCATTCAGCAATGTCTGATTCCTCATGTTCATGGAAGGGTAGTCTGGGTTTTCACAAAATATGTGAAAATATGAATGTGGAGGCAGATTGGGATAAATACAATACCAATACATTCATTGGTACCAATTTTTGTTTAAACATTAAGTTGATGTTGAAATTAAGAATTAGAGATTCTTCCGCAGACATTTAGGGATTAGTAAAGCATGCGTATGTTTCATATGTTGAGATATATTTGTTTGTGATTATAGACAGCAAACAAAATGAAACATTAATATGGTGAAATGTTGGGTGGGCTAAGAGAACAGAGAACATAATTAATATCCGAACTAATGATACAATAATGAATGCCCTAAAAAGACCAACTCGTAAGTCAGATCCTCCTGATTCCTCTTCACAATATTTCTGCAGTTACTCGAAGATGTGATCAGATGCCCTAATTATTCACCAAAAGTGAATTTTGTCATTGACATATCTAATAAGAATGATGGACTGAGATACAATGCAATGAGCATTAAGATTTGGATTGTGTTAATATCATTCTAATTATAGATAAACTTTTTAGTTTTTTAGTTTTGGCACGTTCTTATTTGGAAATATTCATTTGTCTGAAAAGACACTAACAGTGACTAATTTTGTTGTTACTCTGGGGTTTTAAATTGCTTAGAGATTAGCAGCTGAGATGTATTATCATATCCTAGTTTTAGGTTTGAATGAAGTCACATCATATATAAAGATGCAGATATGTAATATTTCATCTTTGCTAACAAATGGAATTTTTGAATCCTTAGAATAATGAAACTAAAATATTTCAATTCTGAAGCTTTTTGTGTGTTTTTGTCTTTTAAAATTTTTTTATTATTTTGTTGTGTAAGAGCACTTAACATGAGAAGTACTCTCTTATCAGATTTTCAGTATAGAATACAATACAATATTATTATTAACAATACAGGGACAATATTGTACAACAGATCTCTAGACTCATCTTGCATTACTAAAACTTTAGAGCCATTGATTAGTAGCTCTCCATTTCCCTCTCTTCCCTGCCCACGACAACCATCATTTTGCTCACTGCTTCTATGAATTTGACTGTTTTATTTTAAGGGAAAGAGGTAACTGTATATGCTGAGAACATGTAACTGCCGCTGGGGTATGACAATGCTTGAATATAAAGGCTCTTGTGCATCATCCAAGAAGGATGTTTTCGTTTTCAGTTTTTACTTCTTTGATATATTTATTTTTGATATTCCCAAATATGAAAACTAATAATTGCCCTTATCTCTCCTTACAATTCCTGGTCAATTTCTCTGATCCTCTTTATAAGTATTGATTGATTATTATTATTGATTGATAATTTTAGCCTCTAAAATATGGAAGTGGTAAGATAGATGAATATAATCCATATATACACAAGAAATACTGAAGGAATTGGGTTCAGGTTCTGTCAGACTGCCAGATCCCTGAGAGTAGTGGCTATAATTTGTCATTGAATCTGCAGCATGTATCACAGTGCTTCTGAATAGGTGGAATTTAAATATTTGTTAGAGGAATGAATGAATGAAAAGTCGGAAATGAATTTATGGATATTATCTGACTGTGAGTTCTGTGAAGAGACCATGTTTATTCTTGCTCATCATTGTATCACTAGGATTTAAGAAATAGCAGCACCCAACAAGTGTGTTTATTTCGATCAAATTTTTGAATTCTCTAGAATTATTCCTTTGGTCCTTCGACTATTTCAAGTCTTTTTTCTTAACCCCAGCCAACAATGGTTGTAGTCAGCCTACTTTAGGCTTCAGATACCATGCCTAGTAAAAGGAATTTAGATATTCATTGAAATATAGAGTACCTAATTGCTGAGCTAGGAGAGAGAGGATGAGCTTTGAATATCTTCAAAATTGCTGTAACTCATAATTACCTCTTGCTGGAGGAGAGTTAAGGAAGGCAAATGGACCTTTCTGAAGAGAAGGAAAAGAACAAAATTATGATTAGTGGAAAGTTCTGTCACAGCAACAACTAAAGAATGTGAAAAGGAATTATTGTAAAAAATATCTTAAATAGGACAAAATTATTCACACAACCTTAGGTACCAGATTTAGATCATATGTCTTAGATCATGTGATAATCAAATCTGGAAAAGTGTTATCACAAGATCTTAATGAAACTGATGTACTCTATTATTGTCTTAAGGCATCAAGTCTATAGAGATTTTGTTTATTGTATTGAGTTCTTTGAATTTTGGGGTCCTTTGGGGTTTCTTGTTGGGGGAAAGCTACTATTCTTCATTCTCCCCAGTATCCCACCTCCCCACCCCAGGATCCTTTCGTCTGCTTCCTCTGGGGGATCATCTGGACCTGAAATGAGTTTGTATGTTTGCCTTAGTTGTTGAAGAACAAGTTCATGGCCACTGGGTGGCCTCCAAGATCTGGATTAGTCATCTCTTCACATAGGTATCTTGGGAGGTTTCTGAACAATTTCAGTTAGGCTCAATGAACAGAGGGCAAATAGAGTTAACTGCTGTGTAGTTATTTTAACATATGCCTAGAAAAAGAGGTTTAATAACTTAGTACAGAAAAGTGGAGTGTACTATGTGACTTTTAAACTAAGAAAATGTAGGGGATAAATGGCAAAAGTAGTTAGATGTTGGAAATCAAGATCAAGTGAATGGGAAAATATTGCCAAAATGTGGGATGTTATTATATTGTGCTTGGTACATAGTGAGTATCCACTAATGTTTGTTTTTGATGAACTGAGATAATACTTACCTCACACAATTGTGTAAGGATTACATATGATGATATTCCTGACATAACCTTGAAAAAGATAGAGAATTCCATTGTTCTCTGCTTGGATGAGAAGAGCCAATAAGGCAATGTGGATAAGGAAACACAAGATTTTAAGCCAGGCAGATTTTATTTAACATCTAGGCTCTTACTTACTAATTCTGTGACTCTGCTGTGCCTTCAATTTGCTTATCTTTAAAATAAGGATAGTATTACATTCTAAGGGTTGTTTGGTAGACTAAATGGGATGATGTAATATAAGGCACCTAATAGGGTGTCTGATATATTTCAGATGCCCAGCCACTTATATTCAGTCCTTTACTCTGACAAGCGTAAAAACACTCTTGTAATGTATTGACTTAATATCAGCGTGACTATAGCTAATGCTAACTAGCTCACACTTCGGGGAAGTGTTTAGAAAATACCCCTGAGCACTGATGGAGGTTCTCCTCTGAGTTGTATTGAGGTGCAAAAATAATATATGTGATAGAGGAGACTGGAAACCCTGACTTAAGTGCCTCCTTCATCCTCCACACCCCACAAGCAAGAATCCCTCCCAATCGTTCAAAAATGAATTATGCTGATACGTGGTATCAGTGATAGACAAAGTGAAATGTGAGTTATTCAGCTGTTGACTCGAAAGCAGTATAATATAAAGATGATTTTCTGTAAGATAAAAATTTAAAGAAAAGGAGATCTATGACAAATAGCTGATGAAAACAATACCATTTCAGGTTGAGATTTTATTAACCATGACTTTTTTAAAATTCTGTCCTTATAAATTCAAATATTATTTTAAAAAATTTTAAACATTTAAGTTCCTCACCATTTCTAGACCCACAACCTGACAGGTTCACAGGCATCAAAGAAATGAGGAACTGAGAATGATAACTTTAATAGTAATTTAGGGTTGCAACCATAGTAGAAATAGATACAGCTTTCCTAGAAGATTCTATTCAAATCTAAACATGTGTCTAGAAAAGAGACGTCATAGAATATTGAAAAGAACTTAAATCAGAGATTTAAAGATTCAAGTTCAAGTTCTGCTATTTGGTGGTGTGACTATGATGGACCAGTAATTTATTTTCTCTGAGCCTCGGTTTTCCATCTTTACAGAAGCAGAAAGTATTCCTTGCACCAGTAGCCTAAACCTTAACTAGGCAGCTAAAAATTGCCATTCAAACTAGGACACTTTAAGAGCAAAAGGGAGCATGATTAATAACTAAGGCACGGCAGTAAGGGTAAAATAGGACAGTTCTTTGTGTTTCACCAATCTATATTTTGACATCTACACTATACTTGTGCTTCTTGAATATGTGGAATGTTCTTATCATTGTGCTTGGTGTATAGTAAGTATCCACTACATGTTTTTATTAACTGAGATATTTATCTTACAGAATCGCTGTAAAGATTAAACATGGTGACGTTCATGAAAGAGTTTCATACCTAATAAGATGTTATATAATAGTTCATTATTATTATATTTCCTGTGGGGAGTCCATATAATATATATAAATAATGAATATGTAATATTCATTATTATTATGTTTACTATGGAGAGTCCCATGCTAAAAAAGATTGGAAAACTCTTTAGGACGGGACTCCCCATAGTAAATATAATAATAATGAAGATGATAGTCAGTGTCTTAAGCCTGAATTAGATCACTAGGAGAGATTGGTGTAGTCAAGACAAAATAGTACTGGAGGCCAAACTTTGACAAAATACTACATTTTAGGAAAAGGAGAAGAAAAGGGAGTCACTTAAGAAGAAATGTACATATTCTTCAGAGAATTCGGAAGAGAACCAGGAGAATGACTATTTTATACATATATATTTGTCTGCTGAAGGTTATTTATTTTCTCCATGTCAAGGAATATATCCAACAAAATTTTAATTCTGAGCAACTGTGTGGTGCTTGGAATGTGATAGATGCTGAATTCATTAGTAACAACAAAAAGAAACGAATCAAGAAATGCATTCCTAAATGCTGTATGAGAAGGTGCATGGAGGAAAAGACCCTGGCTGCCATATAGAATGAGAAAGAAGCCCTTCACGGTGATTTCTTCCAACAGTTTTTGCTACTCAGGCCTCTGGAGTGAGGAAAACAAGTAAAAATTAAGGAAGTTGAGGAGAAACTCTGAATACTTACATAGTCGCAAGGATCACGACCAGCTCAATTACGGAACACAAATGTTTTTAACCCTTCTTTTATCTTCAGTTTCTTCTATAGATTATGGGGCTCTTCATCCCGAACATCTCTTTTCTCAGTGTGCCAAGGAGTTGGATTTGAGTTCTCTAGTTGCAGATCCCAAATGGCTTTTTATTTTTCATTCAGAAGATATTATACATCTGATGGCAGCCTTATTGCCTATGATGACTTCCTCAGAGTTAGTGAAAGTGAAAATATCTCCTACCTTTCTGGAATTTTAAA